GGTATTCCAGTGTGTATAAATACCACATCTTGATCTAGTCATCTATTTTTGGGCATTTGAGTTGTTTATGTATGTTACATATTATAAATAGTGCTGCAATAAATATATTGGTGCAGATATCCTTTTGAATTAATGCTTTTGTGTTCTTGGGTAGATTCCTAGAAGTGGAATTGCTGGCTCATATGGTGTCTCCATGACTAGTAATTTGAGGAGCGTGCACACAGCTTTCCATAGTGGCTGGATCTGTTTGCACTCCCACCAGCAATGTAGGAGACTTCCTTTTTCACCACATCCTTCACATATTTCTTGTTGCTAGTTTTTTAACATGTTCCATTCTCACTAAGGTATTTCATTGTGGTTTTGATTTGCATTTCCATTATTATAAGTGATATTGAACATTTTTTCATATACTTGTTGGCATTTGCATTTCCTCTTTGAAAAAGTGTGTATAGATCATACCATTTTTTAATGCAATTGTTTACATTGTTTTTGAGTTGTGTAAGCTCTTTGTAGATCTTTGTGGTCAGTCCCTTACGGGTTGTATGGAGTAGAAAAAATTCTTTTTAATTAGTAGGGCATGTCTTTGTTTTGGTTAATATCTATTTTGCTTTAGAAAAGATTTTTAGTTTGGTAGAATCCCAGATGTTTATATTTCCTTCACTTTCTTTGCCTTGGGGTGAGCCTGTAAAGATGTTCCTGAAATGAATGTCATGAAGTATTTTCTGGTGTATTTTTTCCTGTTTCAAATCCTATGTTATCTTATCCATTTTGAGTTGGATTTTGTATATGGTATGAGGTTGTAGTCTCATTTCATTATTTTACATGTGGTAGTCCAGTTTTCCCAGCACCATTTATTGAACAGACTGTCCTTGTTCCAGTGCATATTCTTTGTTCCTTTGTCAAAGATTAGTTGCCCATATATGTGTCTTTATTTCTGGGTTTTCTGTTTGATTCCATTGGCCTATGTGTCTGTTTTTGTTACAGCACTATACTGTTTTAAATTTTATGGCTTTGTAGTATAGTTTTGAAGTCTGGGAATGTGATACCACCTTTCTCTGTTGTTTTAATCAGGAGAGGCTTTTGGCTATTTGAGTTTTTTGTAGCTCTATATGGATTTCATCAATATTTGTTTTATTTCTTTGAAGAATGTCATTGAGATATTTATCTGGATTGTGTTGAATCTGTAAATTTCTTTGGGAAGGATGGCCATTATGATAATGTTAATTCTTCTAATCCATGAGCTGGGGATGATGTCTTTCCATTTCTTTGTGTCTTCATCTATTTCTTTTAACGATGGTTTATAATTTTCTTTGTATAGGTCACTCACCTTCTTGATTAAGTTTATTCCCTGGTATTTGATTTTTTTCATTTTAGTTGTAAATGGGGTGGTTTTCTTAATCTCTTCTTCTTATTATTGTTTGTATATAGGAAGGCCACTGATTTTTTTGTGCTGATTTTGTATGTTCTTACTTTACTAAACTAGTTAATTATTTTAACTGGTCTTTTTTTGGAGTTTTTTGGTTCTCCATGTATATCATCACATTGTCTGAAAATAGTGATAGTTTTATTTCTTATCCCTTTCTTTTGTCTTACTGCTCTGGCTAGGACTTCCAGTATTATATTGAAAAGTAGTGATGAGAGTGGACATTCTTTCTACCCTTTTTCCTGATTTTACATGAAATACTTTCTGGTTTCACCATTGAGAATAATATTGTGTGTGGCTTTGTGATAAATGGCTTTTATTGTGTTAAGGTATGTTTGAGGACCTTCATCATGAATAGTTTGAACTTTGTCAAATGCTTTCTCAGCACCCACTGATATGATCATATGGTTCTTGTTCTTCTTTTTGTTGATGTGTTAGATTACATTAAATGATTTTTGGATGTTGAACCCTCCTTAGGCCCCTGGAACAAATTCCACTTAGTCATGGTTTATTATCCTTTTGATGCATTGCTGGATTTTGCTGACAAAGATTTCATTGAGGATTTTTGCATCAGTGTTCATTAGAGAGATTGAGCTGTAGTTTTCTTTTTTGTGTTGTCTTTGGTTTTGGTATTAGTGTATTATTGGCTCCATAGAACATATTTGTTAGTTGTTCTTCCTGTTCACTCCTCTGTTGGATTTAACATTAAGCCTTATTGAAATATTTTTCGTTGTAGTAGTTTTGGAGTCATAAATTTCTGGATATTCTGTTTGGAAAGGTTTTTTTTTTTTTAAAGTTTTATTTTATTCATACAGAACTGGGGTACAGGCCAGAGGCTCAGGGGCGGTGAGAGGCTTCACCAGAGACAGAGTGGGGAGCAGAACAGGCAGATCGACGAAGTACACTGCTGAGGGGAGCAGTGGGCGGGCCAGGAGAGGTCTGCCACGCCATGTGGTCACCTCCGGGGCAGGCAGGAATCAAACTCATGCGGAAGTGGCTTTATATTCTCAATGCTGTGTTTTAACCCGCTGCGCCACCAGGGCAGGCCTCTGTTTGGAAAGGTTTTAACTTTTCATTCATAGAGGAAGGAGAGCTTTGCGGGGTGAAGTATTCTTAATTGGCATTTTTTGGCTTGGACCTTATTAATGTCACTCCATTCTCTTCTTGCCCATAGTGTTTCTTTGGAGAGGTCTGATGTTAGCCTGATTCTTTTTCCTTTATAAGTGATCTCTTTCTTACGCTTTGTCAGCTTTGTTATTTTTAATTTGTCTTGGAGTACTGGAAGATTTACTGTTATGTGTCTTGCTATAGTTTTCCTTTTATTGTGGTAATTTGATGTTCCTCTCGCTCCCTGCATGTCTGTTTTTATTTCCTTCTTTATGTGTGGGAAGTTTTCTTCTGTTATCTCCATGAATGGTTTCTTGGTTCTATTGTCTCTCTTCTAACCTTCTGGGATTACTATAACATTTATATTTCTTTTTCTCATGGTGTCAGATACTTCTCAATGTGTTTCTTCATCTTTTTATTTCTTTTCACTTCTTTCTCATTTTTCCCTTTCTCTTTTGGTCCTTTTTATATCTGTATCTTCAAGAGTACGGATTCATTCTTCTATTTTAGCAGTTCTGTTTTTGTTGCTTTTCCCAATGTTCTTTAGCTCCTCCATTAATCTTTAAAATCTGAATTTGCTTCTTTAAGGACATAATTTCATTCTTCAGCTCATTAATTTGCATATCATTCTTTTCCTTTTTTCTCTTCATTATATTTTTTGATCATGACAATTCTTCCATGTCATTATTGTTGAGTTCTGGTGGCTGATTTTCTTTTTGTGGTGTGTCACTTCCAAGAGGGCTTATTTGTTTATTCATATTTTTCCTTCTCCCAGTTGTGTGTTCTCTAATTTGTTGTTGGCTCTGGCTCACTGTGCCACTGGTGCTGATTTGCACCTCTTTGGGGTGCTCCTGCTGGGTCATTGGGAACTGGTGCCCAGTCCAAGTTCAGCATTGCTAGGCCAGACTCCACAAGGGTGGTCATGCTGTGGATGGGTTATGTGCACTGTCTCTGAAATCACCCAATCTTCGTACGCTGCTGGTTTCTTCCCCTACATTCATGCCTTAACCTACAATGTGCAACGCGAACTGTGAATGTTGTAGGGGATTCTTGTAGACTCTAAGGCTGTTTGTGAGCACTCTCCCTAGCTGTTGCTGCTCCCACATAGCGAGGGCCTTCCTCTGGCTTCCTGATTTTACTTACTTTTCCGCAAAGGGTGTACAGGTATATGAGAGGTTGCTATCCCTCCACAACCATGTACTTGCCAGAGGGTACGCTCCTGGATCTCATTGCTCACTTTTGTTTGCTGAGGGCTCCCTCTGCCTTTCATCAGTTGCTTAGAAGTTACTCAGTAGATGAACTCTTGTTTTCAGTCATAGTCACTGGTATTTTGGGTTTTAATATGAGGGACGTTAGTTGGTCTTTGTTTATATAATAGCTGGCCTATATAGTTGTACCATAAATCACACCTGAACGCATAATGATAGACCCCAAATTCCTGCACAACCTGATTAAAATATGTACTGGTTCTTCAACATGCCATGTTATTTGGTGGTAATTTACAAATTGCTTCTTAGTCTGGAAATTGCAGATCTAGTTATACTAACTTTCTCCTGTCCTCTGTTTTTATTTTAAAAATACAGCTTCTCTTTCTGATACTATATGCTCCATCTGACAAGGAAGCTAGACTCTCACTTCCCTGTCTTGTGATAGATGAAAATTAATGCAATGGATACAAAAGGCCCAGTGCTTCTGAAATCTTCTCTAAGGCTCCCTCTTAAAGTACAACTAATACACACCCCTGAAGAACAAACCACACTTGCTACTTTGGACAGATACAACCCAACAGGATTATATGAGGACAGAACTTGACATATCGCCAACTGGCCACTAAACAAGGGATTTAATTTGGATGGGAATTTTATATATTTCCAGAACCAATCAATATCAATATTTTTAGTCCCTAGACAGGCTGTTCTTACCAGCTTCTGTGCATCAATAATTAAGTAATTTGAAGGCCTGGTCCCATGTTTTCTATGACTGCAAGTACTGAAGGAAATGTTCTGGTTTTATGACACACAAGGGCCTTTCTGGAGACAGTTTATTATGGGATTTATCCTGATGCTATAAATGCTAATTCATTTGCCTCTTATGAAATGCTTTGTCCTTGGTGTAAGTCACCGTTTCATGGATTCTTCAATTCTTTCACTTATTTTTTTCCAGATACTTTTCAGGCCTCCTGTGTCTGCTTCTGGACACATTTCTGAGTATTTATTGATTAAAATCAGACTACCAGTAATGTTTCAGAGAAGCTCCCATAGTGTTCCTTTTCTCATCTCCTCTGAAAGTATTTGATTTAAGAGACCAATATGAGAAAAAAAGACAGTAACAAAACACAATAAGCCAGCAAATTTGTGAATATTTTGGAAGGTATTATAAAGAGTTGTTTTAGTAACAAGGAACTCTTGAAGTTGAATGTTGCCAATCTAAAAGTTGTCTTCTGTTTTTTTTTTTCTTTCTTTTTCTCCAGGTACACAATGCTAGTGATTTGCTGATCAAACCCTTGGAAAATTTCCGGAAGGAACAAATAGGCTTCACCAAGGTACATATTCACCAAATGTGTAAGATATCTTTTACAGCAGTTGAGTAATACTTTGGGCTAGCATTCTTTTCTCCTCATTAGTGTGGGGTTCATTTCTATAAGAAAACTTATTCTGAAAAAAAAAAAACTTAAAAGTCTTGAATTGACTGCAGGCTATGCTATCAATAATCTCTAATTGTGGACAAGTCAGTTCTTTTTAAGCTTCATTTATCCACCTGGAAATAGTTGTAATAGTTATAATAGCTGTAATTAAAAGACGACTTGCTCTGTGCTGAGTGCTGGGTTAGATACTTTATATTTATTATCTAATTATAACCTGTGAGATTCTGATATTATTCTCATTACATGCTTCCTATGTTCCAGACCTGTGCTGAGATTTTTCCACACACTTTCTTCTTGTGAAGTAAGATATATAATGCCCATTATCCAATGAAAAAAATGAGAGTCAGAAAGGTTACTTATCTTTCCCCGCTATTTCTTTACCAGTGGAAACCACCTGTATGCCTGCAGTATTCCTCGGCATCTTCTACAGCTTCATCCTAGTGGTAAAGTTTTAGGTAGTAGAAGGAGCACTGAACCAATTACTAAAAATTTAGTACTAAAAAAGTATGTTACCGGCCCTCCCTGGTGGCGCAGCGGGTTAAAGCACTGCACTGAGAAACTAAAGCCACTTCCGCATGAGTTCGATCCCCGCCTGCCCCGGAGGTGACCACATGGCGTGGCAGACCTCTCCTGACCCGCCCGCTGCTCCCCTCAGCAGTGTACTTCGTTGATCTGCCTGTTCTGCTCCCCACTCTGTCTCTGGTGAATCCTCTCACCCTCCGCATCTCTGGCCTGTACCCCAGATCTGTATGAATAAAAAAAAAAAAGTATGTTACCAATTTATTGCCTTTCAGTTCTAGATTTGTTCCTCCATGCCTGTACTGTGATAATGAAAAGAATTCCTTTAAGCATCTCTCCTTTGCAGTGAGCAAAATGTTAAGCTTTCTCAGTAGAAGATGCTGAGGAACACTGCATGAGAAAGAGTTTCTCCTATAGTTTACAATGCTGCACGAGTAGGTCATTGTAGTGAGAGAGATATATAGGTGACCCAAGTACACATCTGTGATAACATGGTTCTTAATTGACCTTGGAACTTCTGCCTGGTTTGATCCTACAGATTTCTCAGTACGAAAACCAGCTCCCTAAAAGTCTGTCTGCCCATGCCCATGCTGCCCTTTGCTCTCGATCCCACACATAGCATCCCCAGTGACTGAAGGCCTATACTAGAGCTGCCATTCTCTGCTTCTTCCATGGGGTCTGATAAAGACTGATTGTGCCTTAGGGGGTTCCTGTTGAGGCAGATTGATCCTATAAAGCTTACTTGTACCCAAGATTGTTCTTATAATCTTGTATAACTACTCCACAAGTTGCTAATTGTTTTCTCCCACCCTCATCCCCCCCCCAAGTAATCTACTTATTTTATGATTCTAGATCATCAGGACAAACTGGCACACTTTCCTGCTATTTACTGTCTTAAATTGTATATTTCCAATGAGATCAGAAGCCTTTCAAAAATTGCTTTTGCACACCTCCTCTCAGAGTATTAAATAGAGTTTCCTTGTGTCATGTTTTTTTAAGTTCAGTATGTTTGTGTTTAATAATTATTTAGAATGTTTTCTGACCCATAATCAGACATATAATAATAGATACAGCATTGCTGTTTGCTGCCTCTGTGAATTTACTGATAGTAGCAAGTGCTTTCCTATGGATATATACACAAATCTTTTCTCACAGGAACCTCAAAACCACTGTTGAGTGTTTACAGTCACTCAACTAGGAGGTGACAGTGCTTGGATTTCAATGCAGTTTTCCTGCTTTTAAGTCTAAAGTCATTTTTCTTTATAAAAGATGTCATGTCTCTGGGCTTAGTTTCCTCAGATGCCCTTAACCATTGTTCTGTGAAACCAGACATGAAACATCAAGGTACATAGACATAAGATGTAAATAGCCTAGCTCTGCTGTTTTCAAGTTCTGTGATATGGGGCAAATACTAAACTCTTTGAGCCTTACCTATAAAATATAGATAACTATACCTATCTCACAGGGTTATTTTATGAATTATTTGAAGTAGTATATAAAACAGGCTTGCATTGAAACAAAGTTCCATTCTGTGAAGTACTTTTATTACTTCCCAAAAAATGAACAAGGAAATAGATAAGCTAGAAAATTGAAGACAATATAGCAATAGCAAATCCTCACATATTAATAATTACTGTAAATATAAATGGATTTATCTTATGAACAAAAGTCACAGAGTGCCTGCTGGGTCAGAAAACAAACCCAACTTTCTGCTATCTCTAAGAGGTAAAGTTTGAGCTCCAAATTAAACATAAACTCAAAGTAAGCGGTTGCAAAGCAATCTACAAGCAAATGAGTCCCAAACAAAGGCAAAGACAGACACACTTGATTTATGTAAAATAAACTTACTGCTAAAAAAGTATTATATGATGGTTTAATGATCATCATACAATACTTACAATAATAATATATCAAGAAGACATAAAACTCAGTAATATATATGTCCCAAGAGACAAGAGAATCAAAATATGTAAGACAGATATTAAAAAAACTGTAAAGAGGCCCTCCCTGGTGGTCCAGCGGGTTAAAGCGCAGCACTAAGAAGCTAAAGCCACTTCTGCATGAGTTCAATTCCCGCCTGCCCTGGAGGTGACCACATGGCGTGGCAGACCTCTCCTGACCAGCCCGCTGCTCCCCTCAGCAGTGTACTTCGTAGATCTGCCTGTTCTGCTCCTCACTGTGTCTCTGGTGAAGCCTCTCGCCGCCCCTGAGCTTCTGGCCTGTACTCCAGTTCTGTATGCACAAATAAATAAATCTTAAAAAAAAAAAACTGAAAAGACATTGGCAACTTACTAAGTTGTAGGAGAGTGCTGTACACTCATCAACGAAGAGATCAAGTAGGTAGCGAATCAAGAAGGAAACAGTGGCTTTACATGGGAAATTAGATCACATAGGCTTCCAAACACACTTTATGAGGCCATTGTTACTCTGATACCTTTAAGAGCAGACAAAGATATCACAAAATGGAAAACTGTAGATCAATTTTCTTGAAGAACATAGATACAAACATAGGAAACTCTTAGTAAACTGAATTCAGTGGTGTGCTAAAAGGATCATAAGAGGATCTGATAGTTGATCAATTTAATTCCCCATATCAATGAAATGAAAGAACATTTGATTTTATCAAATAAATGAAAACATTTATAACATCTACTTATGATAAAAACCTTCAAAAAGTGTGGGTCAAGGCATCTACCTAAATATAATGTAAACCATGTGAGACAAACTGACAACTAGCATCATAGCAGTGGTGACAGACAATCAGCCTTTCCTCTAAGGTCAGGCTTAAGAAAATGATATGCACTTCACCACTACTATTCAACTTTGTATTGGAAGTCCTGGCTATTGAAATTAGACAAGATACACATGCACTCACACACACACAGATTCCAAATTGGGAGAGAAGAACCAAAACTATCACTATCTGCAGATGAAATAGTAATATGCATAGAAAACTATAAGGACTCCACTAATAAATTAATAGAAATAATAAAGCAATATAGTAAATTTACAGGTTTCAAAATCAGTCATTATAGTTGCCACTCGTATATGCAAAGAAGTGATAAAAAGAGAAGGAAGGGCCCTCCCTGGTGGCGCAACAGGTTAAAGCACAATACTGCAAGCTGGCCACAGCCCATTAGTGTGAGTTTGATCCCCCCCGCCCTGGTGGTGACCCACATGGGGCAGCAGACCTCTCCTGTTTCACCCGCTGCTCCTCAGGAGTGTACTTTGTTCATCTATTTGTTCTGCTCCCCACTCTGTCTCTGGTGAGTCCTCTCACCACCCCTGCACCTCTGGCCTGTACCTCAGTTCTAGATGCATAAATAAATACATCTTTTAAAAAAAGAGAAAGAAGGAAATCTAGAAAATATTCCATTTTACTATGGTAATAAAGTATGAAATACTTAGGAGTAAAATAAAGAAAGAAAATGGGCACCTTGGGCAATGGAAATTATAAAATGCTCTTAGAAGACACAGAAGAAGACACAAACAATGGGAAGATAATCTTGTTCATGGGTTGGAAGAATTAACATTGTTAAAATGGCCTTTTCACACCAAGCAATATATCGGTTTAATGGAATCTCTGTAAAAGTTTCAGTGATAACTACTCATAGAAATAAAATAAACATTATTGAAATTATATGGATTTACAAAAGATCCAGAATAACCAAAACAATCCTGAGAAAAAGGAGGAATGGAAGTATCATGCGTCCAGACTTTGAGCTATGCTGCAAAGTTATAGAAATCTAAGAAGTATGTTATTCTAATAAAAATAGTCAGATCAATGAAATAGAATTCAGAACACAAATAAATCCTCACTTATATGGACAGTTAATTTACAGTTATTGAGCCAAGAGTATACATTGGAGAGCAAATGGTGTTAAAAACTAAAATCATAAATTATGTCAAAGTGAACAGTTAAAACATGCTGAATATAAATGTATAGGGTTACAGCAAACTAAGATCTTTTACAAAGTGAATGAAACTATCAGTAAAATGAAAAAACATCTTACTAAATGGGAAAAAATATTATTGGCACAAAATATATCTAACACAGATGTTCTACAAAGAATTTTTGGACCTCAACAACAGCATAAAAACAAAAAGCCCAATAAAATGGACAAAAGACCTTAATAGGCGTTGATCCAAAGAATACATAAAGATGGTCAATACGCACGACTAAAATGGTCATCATCATGTATCAGTTAAAGGTAAATCAAAACCTCAATGAGATTATCATCTCACACTTGTGAAATTTGTCAAGAAGACTAGGAACAAATATGGCAAGGTTTTGGAGTAAAAGGAATCCTCAAATGTTGTTGATAGGAATGTAGACTGGTTCAGCCCCTATAGGATACAGTGTAGAGATTTTTCAAAAT